ACGTAGACGTAGTAAGTAGTAGTACGTACGTACCGTACTAGTCTCTATATAGTTCTATATAGAGACTAGTAGGCTAACTACCTACTCTTTACCTACATATATATATATATATATATATATATATAACACTGAGATTAACCCACTAGCTCATATGAACATATGAGTTCATATGAGCCTAATGGATCAGATTGAATCTGGATCGATCTTACGGTCACGACCTCATACGTATTTTAATTTTAATTTTTTTTATTCAAATCCAAATAACTTGAAATTTTAGCTATGTGTTCTTTAAAAATAGGATAATCTAATAAAAATATCAAAATAATAGTTTACAGTAAATAATTTGACCAAAATACCCCTGAAATGTTTTGGGGGTATTTTTGTTAATTTAGTTTTTGAAAATTATTTTTTTAATATTTTTATTAAGTGGGCCTCGATGAGAAGAGGGGATGGTTAAAATTTTAAGTTATTTGAATTTGTAAAAAAAATATTAAAATTCAAACACAAAATGAAGTTGTGACCGTTATATATATATATTGGAGATCTACTTCAGGAAATGACCTACCCTAAGGCGCTCTAGCACCTCTGGATGGTCTGTTATGAATTTAACAGCAAGAGTCATGGATCTTGATGAAGTTTCATGGCCTGCAAAAAGCAAGAAGATTATGAAGTCCACCACCACCTCTGTTGGAAGAGGTTTCTCTTCCCTCAGCAACCTCGTCAACAAGTCACCACGCTGCACCTCCGGATGGTCCTCCCGGTCCTTGATCGCTTTGTAAATCTTCGTGTCCAATGCTTTCCTTGCCTGAAGAAATCAGTTTCCAAATTCTTATGTCAATTGGCATAGAGATAGGGACTATGTTTTCTAATTTCATGTTGACCTTATCTTTTTCTGAGAATGCCACTTTTATGTGAGAATATACACCAACTCTATGAGAGGTCTTACTGTAAGAGAAGCGTTCTCTTGTAATAAATCTAACAATGCGGATTCTGTTGGATTTAACCTTGACTAACTGGTGTTCGAAACCTACATAAACAATGTTTAAGTTTGAAGGGGTTTACATTCTAAGTTCATTAATGAGTTTGGGCAATTTAACCATTCGAAATCAAAATTCCTGCCTAAAATTCACTGGAGCAATTGATAGACCAAAAGACCTTGACAGTTTTTGGTGGCAGTTATGACCGGGGCGACCAAGTTTGGGCAACGATTATAAGGCCTAACCCCACAAACTCTGTAGTTTGATCCGAACGATTTGTCGCACGTGCTCAACCACTTACACCTGCTTCATCATAGCTACATTGGAGGAACACTGAATTTCATCTCTATATTTTAAATCCAAATTTCAAATTTAAATTTGATGAAAAACACTCAATAAACAATGCAGAACTCTACTCCGACGAGTTTATGTGGTCATCCTGGCATTTTCTTGTTCATCTCTTAGTCTTTTTCTGAAAGAACATATTTTTTGTTAGTCTTGACCTAGATTCCACCATTTTCTGCAAAGGGCAAACCAGTCTTAGCTCTATAGTCCCCAAAAGCTCTTAAGAGTGTGCAACTTTGTAGTATTTTAACGAACTTTAATAAGTGCTTCACTCTGGCCCAGTTTTATCCTAGGATATAATAGCTCAAAACTCAATTGTATCACAGACGGTGTTTCTTTGTTGAGGGCATTAAATATAGCGAATACAATGTAAGCATCGGGTCTAGTTGAAGTGCAGTTGAGATAGTTTCTGAAATCCAAGAATTCTCTTCCTCGTGTTCGCTGTTTCCTAGAGTGACTCCGGGTGCCATTTTAGTTACCTTGTTTACAAGTGGGATTGGCTTCTGAGTGGTTTCACTCAATTGAGGCTTCTGTCCCCATGGCTCTTTGTAGAAATGTGGTCCTAGCCAAGCATATGCAATGTGGTCCTAGCCAAGCATATGCAATATGGTTCTAGCCAAGTACATGCTCAAATTCATTTTGACCTTGGTTAAAGTGTGAAACTCAGACATTCCCAGACATTCAACTGTGAACTAGGTCCTAATTTCACTTAAAGTTCATTCAGCCTCACTCTACAGGATTGTCGGTGGTTTCGAAATGATAATTGTTCTAGCGCATTACCTCTGTGTCAAGATACAGAAGGTGAAAAACTCTTTTATCATAGGGTTTACAAAAAGGCGTACACCCCTATTGCTTTCTTTGTGTGTCCCATTAGTGCCACAAAGCCCAGCGGTCTTCCATCAGCATCTTCCTCCTCAACCCTAAATGGTCCATTTCCAATGGAATAGCACACCTTCCTCGCCGCTTCGGGGCTCTTTGACTAAGTGGGCACCTTAGCTTAATCAGCGTATTAGCTTCTATCCTGGTCGAGTGACCTTTGGTACATCTGCTTGCCCCGAAATGACCTGGACCGATAGGGAAATCTCGATTTATTTGGTCAAGTGATAAGATGTTTTCAATGGATTTTTTTGAAAAGGAAGGATGCTTAGGGAAATCAACGCAACCTTAATTGTCCCAATTCCACAAGACATGAATCAATATCTTTCAACTGTTGCCACAATTAGTCTAGTCTAATGTCTGGGTGGGCCGTCTCCCTCCCACGTTGCTTTCATGGTAAGGAGACCACAATCTTTCCATAAATCCCCAAAGAGGATTTACTGCAAAACTCCTAATCCCCATAGGCCAGAAGCATCATGCCGTGGGAGTGAAAGGTCCACCTTTTTTGTTTTATTTGAAAATGAGGAAGAATTTGCAAATTGATAAAACTAGGTGAACAAATTTTCCATCTCCAGGGACTCTCCATGCCATCACGTCCCCATGGCCGTTCACTATGTGGGGATTGGATGTAAAAAATCTCCCCTACGCCGTCAAATGGACATTAGTTGAACCTCGAAAAAAGCAACATTCGCCTCGTAATAAAAATGTGTTACTGTATTAGTAATTATGTTATTAAGCTTTACAGGAACCTAATGCCAACTCATTCTTTGAAAAATGTTGATTAGAACATACTAATCGTCAAGTCACCATATGTTATAGCTCAACTAAAATTTACAGTTATTAGTTGCTGATGATTGATGGAATTGACTCTTCTCATGCAACAATTTTTGTTCAAGTAAGAAAGGGTAATTTACCTTCATTCCTTTGGCGAAATTTGTACCGGGAAAGGCGATGGGAAAGCAAAGAACGGTTTTTGTGAATGCCACAAACTCTTTGTCAATCTCCTCCATTTCCTCAATGGAGTCCAAGTCTAGCAATTGCTTGCACATAAGCTCCGAAACAATCTGCAAAACTATCATCAGTTAAATCTCTAACATAAAGACAAGAAAATTATACCTCAGCAAATAAATAAATGGATTGTATATTACACTTTACTTTTGGTTCCAAGTATGGCACAGATCATCCTTAGCATTTGGATGTCAAATCCAATAACTAGGGCTGCATATCAAAGTTTGAGAAATTTTCGTTTGAACTTTCAACTCGGTCAGTGGCAATAGCTCCAACTGCCTGATTTAAAATCTATTGATCGTACTAATAATAAATGGACTTATTGTATTCTTTTTTGTAAGAAAATGAACTTGTTTGGATGTACGTTTTTTATCACTTATCATTGATAATTCATTCTTTCAATAAGATTAATCCTCATGATGAATTATGTATTGTTTGGCAAAGGCCCTCATAAAGTTGTCCAAGATAAAATTGTATGCCGTTTTTTTTACGTATTAGTGAAAAGCTGTTCGTACTTTATTGAAACTAATTTGCTAGAAATCACATGCTTGTAGCCGCAAATACCAAAAAATAGCTGAAAATGATTACAAATATAAATAATTAAATAAAATTATATATATAATATAAGTACGTACGAAATAACTGACAAATTGATACTACCCAAAGTATAATAAACTTCTATAAGATAATCTATTTCTGATAAAATTAATTGCCATCCATACAAGCCCATGTTGTATACATAATCACCCAAACGAAAGCATATAATACACCAGTGGTATTTTATGGAGTGCTAAGGGTCTATCTTGATTGTAGTTACCGTGACTGATGTTTCCTGTGTAGTTGCGATCCCCAACATCCATTAGTAGAAATAGATTGTGGATGTCCTTTAAATGTATGCTATAGCAAGTATCACTTAATCTCAAATCATTATACAATTTTTTGAAAATGGACTAGAGCATCCACCGTCCATTCTCTGGATGTATGGTGGAGGTCAACCATAATACTGAATGAACATCCTTCATTGGAACTTAGCCATAAAATTCAATTCACAAACGTCACATGCATATAAAGGGTTATGATATTCATCTAACTCAATATTTTTTTGTTTTCAAATGAGAGTGAAGAATATTTTTAATTTTAAATGGGAGTGCCTTTCTTCATCTTTGAATTCTTCCATTACTAATTTTACTCCTTAAAAAATTTCACAATTTAAAAACAATATATTTAACAAGTAATTTACCTCACATGGTAGTGTCCTAATAAAAAAGCTTCAGTGGGGCCCAAATACCAATTGACTTACCCTGTTTTGTTTTTTTAGGATGAAATAAATTCCCCAATCAATTATTTTGGTATTTTTCATAGTAATGTTGAATTTATACCTTACAAGTAACGGGCATCTTTAAATTTTGCCAAAAGATGCACTCTGGTGTCGGAAACCCTACAATGGCTTGAAAATATGTATTCAACCATAATTATAAAATTTAAAATTTAGAAAACATTAAAATGGAGCAGACCTATAAATACTTGAAAATAGATTGTCCAGATAATTTGCTGCAAGATGCAAAAATTTTATGAATTAGATTTATATTTTCTTTATTTATGTGCATCTTGAAATTGAGAATAAATTGGAAGCTTTTTTCAACTTTGAAACACTCTTTTTGTACTAGATCTTTTAGGTGTACCTTGCATCCGATAGTATAAGATTATAACCTTATAAAAACTTTTTTTTTTTTGTTTTTTTGTTATAAATTTAATTAAGAAGTTCAAAGAATTATTTATTAACTACCTGACGCAGTGATTGAAAAGACGAAATTTCGGGGACGAGTCCCTCACCTTATGGCACTCGTCTTGGAGGCGCACTTCCTCGCCGATCCAACTCGCGACGCTATTAATGACTCGGGACTCCACGTCAGCCATGTAATGGCTCCTTAGCTTATCAGGGGCGAGTAGATTGACAGCGATCCCGTGAAGCTTCCTTTGCAGATCGCCATGGACGGCGATTAGGCCGTATTTCCCGATGGCCTTCCTAAAGCTTACGGTGTACATGGCTTTGAACAATTTGCCCTCGTTTTGCATAACCCATTTATTGAATTCGGGATCAACTGAGAGAAGAGATGGCTTTCCAAAGAGATGAGACATGAATATTCTCCCATACCTACATAATAAGATATGGAAAAAATCTCATAAGACAATAAATGGGCTTACAGCTCCATAAAACTTAGGGATGGATTTGTTTATTCAAATAAATAAATTATTTCAGAAATGATATCTTACAGTATTTGAAGGTCTAGATCTATTATTCACTAAATGGATTACTGAGAATAGGTGAGATTTATTTTTCCCATTATTTGATGATGATGGGATGATATTAAAATCAGTCAGCCTCCTCGACCATAGGAAAACAAAAATAAAAAGATGAGGTTTATATAAGGCCTAGGCTTTATGAAAACAAAATAAAGCCTCACCTCAAATCCGCTTTCAAGAAACACTCCGGAAAAAAAAATATCCACGATGGCTCTAAAATCAATTTCAAATACAAAAAATAAATTTTGAAACTAAAAAAAAGTACAGATCTTACGGATTTATGCACACTTTTTAGGGTGAAATAGATGATCTAGATAATTTGTTACAATATACACTATGTTTAGAGATTGAAATCCTAATTTCTTTTCACAACAATAACATTCAAGTAGAGATGATCGATATAATGGTTTTCCAACGCTTGAATTGTAATTTCGGATGAGTTATGAGATGAGGCTTTACTTATTTGATAGAGCCGCCCTATCCAACCGTTTTCCATAAATAAAAAGAATCACATTAAGATTTTGTGCACATTCAAATGGTACACCCTAACCCGCAGGATTTCACATCAAATGGCAAGACGGCAAGACATGATTGTGATTTTCGTATACCATACATAAATATGTATAATACACTCATTTAGCTAAGCTACTTTGCTTATAAAAGGGTTTTTTTTTTTTTTTTTGATTGTCTACAAAGAGACTATTTATATTTCCAATAAAGAGGTCACAATTATTTTTGTCTTTTAAATTTTAAAATAAGAGATTGTATGAGTATCATTGAATAGACATAAAGTTTCCAAAAAGATTATCGAACTTGGCGACACACCCCAAACCATCCAATTTAACATCTAATAAGAGGGAATAATTATGACTTCCTTGTAATAAAGATAAATGATCTCTTTGAGTTTTTTTTTTTGAGAGCTTCATACCTGGAGATTCTCGGTTGAAGGAAGTCTAACATTGTAGTTTGGGATGTAGAGCGGTACCAAGTGAAATTCTCTCTGACAATGGGCCATCCATATTGCCCCGGGAACCCTAATTTAGGGTTTTTCTTCTCTGCCAGATAGAGAAGAGCTAGAAAGAAGCACAGAACGATAGCGAGCACCACCATCACTGAAACCATTTTCTCTCTCTCCTCTCGCTCTCTAAACACAGGGGAGTGCAACGGGGAAGGTAGCTGTGTGGTCTTTAAGTATAGGGATGACATACATGAGACAAAGTAAAATATGGAAAGAGATTCCTCTAAAACTCAACTAAAGCGCAATTGTCTACAGATAGAGAGAGAGTGAGTGGAATAAGATAGAAACCGGCAAGTCTCGTGAGACATGAAATAATTCTGGGACTAACTCATGGTCGCACGTGTAGAGGAAAACTTGTATATTATGCTCCTGCAGCAGCATGCTATATATTTACTCCCTCGGATAAATGACTTGTAGACAATTATTTTCAAAAGTAAAAGTTTGGATTTTCGGTATTCAATCTTTGGGCATTATTTTCTTTAAGCACATAAAGAACTATTTGGAAAAACATTTATTGAAGTTAAATGAGTATTGAGCTTTACCAAGGGAATAAATAAACATTATACTCCCACAGGAGCAAAGGCTATTTGGCCTCTAGTCACGATAAAAGAGTAATAAAATCCTCAGAAAATTTTCTCCACTTTAGAAAGAATGGAAAAACCTTCACTTTTTCTTGGGCCAATCACTGTCTTCAAATGAATATTATTGTGAATGAAGCCGACCCAAGCTTAGTTTTTACATGTCAACTGCTTGAGCTGAGCAAGAGCTTGACGTGTTTATGAGTCATTGGGATTGATTGACCTTGGCTTAATCAAGTGAAGGTTTATTTGAGCTTGGCTTGACTCAGTATTTGAAAAACTGAATTGGCTCATTGAATTGGTCTCTTAGATATTTAACGTATTTTTTCAAATAGATCAGAGAGTTGGGTTTTTTTTTTTTTTAAAAGGTATATGTGGACACCCTCTAAAAATTATGTGTCCAAAAGTCCACATAAACCTTATTAGACCATAGACAATCTAGGCCCATTATAATTGTCCCAAAACTACCTAAAACATATCACAAGTCGATGTAGATGCTAAGAGCTTTTCAACTGTCCAAGAATTGTCTAAATCAGATCTATGGATAAAAAGATCCAAAAAATGATCAATAGGTCCTCGCCTAATGGGCGCCCAAAATGACCCGCCCAACACAGGCCTGTCGGGCATGCCCGCAAAGACCGTGATGGGTCCAGTTTGGCCCGATGATGCAGTAAAAATGCATTTTTTTGATGATAAAGCCAAAAAATTCAAGATAAACTCGAAAAAAATCTAAAAAAAAATCAAAAACATTTAGAAAAAATCACAAATTGAGCCCTATAGGTATCCCCCTCCATAACAAAAAAGAGAGATGAAGAAATTCCTGAAATTAGAACAATGGCCCTAAAGATAACTCAAAAAATACCCGAAAATAGGAAAACTCTTTAGAAAATTCCAAAACAATTCCAAAAAAATTAGACAAAATCCCAAAAAAATCCTAACAAAGCCAAAAATTCAGATTTAAGCTTAAGAGTCTCCAAAAACCTTAGAAAACTAGGGAAAAACCCTCCTAAGCCTAGAAAAGCCTAATACTACAAAAAATTCCCAAGCTTTTCCTCCGGCATCTAGAACCCTAGCTCTAGGTAAAAAAAACCTTAGATCTATTGATTCTAGAAAGAATAGCTATCTAAAAAGAGGTGGTGGCAAAAATAAGAAGTGCAGACTGACCCAAGCCCGAAACTCCAGGTTCTGGGTCCCAAGATATAAGATCACTTCTTTTTTTCAATTTTAGTTATTTTTCCCATTTAATTTTGTTTTATTTTCTGTATTTTCTATTATTTCTTGGTTTATAAATTTTTTCAAGAATTTTTAATGCAAAATACACAGATCTGGAAGCTGGGCTGCTAGTGGACCAAAGAAATGAGCAAATCTGAATAGATCTGTGTCATTCTTGGGCTTATAATTAGAGGGACCCCACTCTCTCTATTTTTTACAAAATTAATTAAGTTTTTGCTAAGATTTGAGCAGATCTCATCACAAAGATCAGCGCTGATCGGAGCATAAACAATATCATTTAGTAATATCAGCAATATTGAAAATGGCAACGTAATAACTAGGCACAGGGGTGCAACCACTACGATCCAACCTCTTTCCTATTAGAGGGTGAAGTTCTTTTTGTTTTTCTGGAGAATATTGATATGGGCGTGGTTTGTATAAAGTTGGAACCTTAAAAATAATGTTGCAATATTTTATATCATTTATTTTATTTGGACAGTATGGATTTGACACATTATTTAAGATAATGTCCACTCTACACCATCCAAATAAGATGCACAATATAGATTATTGTAACATTATTTCTACAAATAAGATTGCAAATTTATATAAAAAAATTTAAAATATTTTGATAACTAAAATAATTAAAAGATAATTAATAATAAATTGGATGAATTGGTAAATCCAAATCACTTTGTTTACCGACTTGTCTAAATCTAAGACGGAATCAAGCAAGTCCCTTTCATCGGATTGATTCTCAACTTCGGTAAGGAACATGATCAGTGCTCCATCAATTTCAACCCACATCGATGATGTTTCAAGGTAAAATCCCCGTGGACCTAACTTTTTTTACAACCTACCCCCAACTATTTCTTTGTTGCAACATTTACCTCGAAACAATCTTTTCTAACAAATACCACCCAATCAAAAAGTTGTAGTTTTTAGGACCAAAATGCCCTGTCTCTCTTCTAACACCGACTATTTAACTTTTCCTATAAAACAACAAAAGGCGATCCGGCAGTATAAACAAGCAAGCGGTCCAACAATATCCCAAAACGGTTTGACATTGACAAATAACAGTCCAGCAATAGGCCCATGCGGTCCGGCACTGCCAAAGAGCGGTCCGGCACTGCCAAAGAGTGGTCTGGCAATAGGCCCATGCGGTCCGGCAACAGACATATGCAGTCCGGCAACAGGTCCAAAGTACGGTCCAGCTATGTCAAAGAGCGGTCCAACACTTTTAGTTTAATGGGATCCAGCAATTGGTACATGTCGCCCATGTAGCTTTTGGTATTGTGCATAAACCGATGTGAATGTCTGGCCAAAATTAACTTCTTATGTACGAAAAAGAGTATTTTCATCAAAAAAATATGCTTTTAAAAAAGTTTGATTGGGGGTTCTATTCTTGGCGGTTATTTGTAATTTTCCTATGTTTCAACTTATTTAAGTAAAGATACTAAAACCATAGACAAGCCCACAATCATTGTATTGTGTGATAGAAAACCTATATGAGGCTTAACATTAAAAATTAAAAAATTATAAATATGAAAATTTTGAGGTAGGCTCTAATTTGGATGTTTAGCTAGAGATGATGCTCTAAACAATCAAATTAGAGCCCACCTCAAATATTTCACTAGAAGAGGTTGT